ATTTTGTTTTGCTTACTCATTTCCTGTTGATTCAACATAGTTTCTTCCTGTATTACTTATCTTACATCCGGTTAGTGAATTTTGAAAATTAGGTAACCCTCTCTAATGAAATATGGCTGCTGTGCACTAATGGGTTAAATATTTCAGAATTATGGCTTCATAGGATTTAATTAAACCAAAGAAAGAATGAAATTATTCATTCTTAAATTCAGAGGCCTGTCCTAAAATTATGGCCTATATTGCAATTGTATGGAGGCAGAAGAAATGCAACAAATGGCGGTTACAATTTTAGATCAAGAAACGCTGAATATACACGTACGTATAACGTTAAAGTTCTATAAAAAACAATTAAACATTTTGCAGATTTTCTTTAAAAATGTCGTGCAACAGTGATAGGCTTTTACGAATAATATTGAACGCGTTTCTGTGCGTTATTTGTGCAGTGCTTCTAACTGACAAGAATATTTCTCCACATTACCGATAATTGAGGCGTATAAGTCGAGTATTCAAGCCTAAAATCATTTCCAAAATTAGGGTGTTCACTTATGTGGCGGCTATAAAATGTAAACCATTACCATCGTGCTGTAAACAAGTGGGAAAGCATTCCTAACAAATACTGTACACCACTTACCGTACCTTCAGCAGGCTGACACAAATATATCTCACTAAAACTTGTGTTTGGTGGACATATTTGGTATATTAACATATTTGTCCGGTCGGTGAAAAGTTGTGCTTACACTATAGAAATAATCGGGATTCATTATGCATTATTAAGGTTGAAATTATATTAAGTTATCAAAATCAGTATGTCTAGTAACTGTGTCCATAGTTTGCAAAAGAAATAAATAAAAATTTAAAAAAAACAAAAAGAAAAACGGAATAATATAATATACTGTACCATTATGTGTTGTAGGTTGTTTGCTATGAAATGCATATAAAAAGTCTATATATCTGAGATGAGTTATTTTAATTATTTACATTATTGGCATCGTTCGGACTGTTGTCCTCGTATTTGTTGTCTTACACGTGCCTATTTCAAGTGATTAGAATTTCGAACCTATTGAATAAAGGCTTTGTTTGAAGTAATCCAATGACTTTTTTTTTAACACAGTTAATAAGAAAGAGAGCTGAAATTTCACGGACACATAATAAGGAAGAAGGACTTGTAGAGATTAACACCCACAGGGCATATCAAATGCAAGAGGGACAAGAAAAGTTAGTGAGACAACAACGCTAAGCGAAGAAAAACCCGTGAAAGATTGAAATTTTCATCAAAATTAAGCTGCTAAAAATTATATATTGAAAAACGCATGCCGTAAATTGTGCCTCAGAATGTCGAGTATTCAAGCCTAAAATCATTTCCAAAATTAGGGTTTTGACTTATGTGGCGGCTATAAAATGTAAACCATTACCACCGTGCTGTAAACAAGTGAGAAAGCATTCCTAATAAATACTGTACACCACTTACTGTACCTTCAGCAGACTGACACAAATATATCTCACTAAAACTTGTGTTTGGTGGACATATTTGGTATATTAACACAGAAATTAATATGAAATAGTAACACAAATCTAATATTTTATTAAAGCAAGAGTACATATCACTTCCAACAGCTGATACACTTAGAGATGGCATCCCAGGTTTTTTTCACTTTAGTAATGCAAATGGCGTATGAGTGATACTGTGTTTTACATGAACATACGATACGTAACAGTCCCATCCAAAAACGACCTGGTATGATTGATGATAATCTACGCTATTAATATTTTATAGCAGTTGATTTAACTAGTTGACAACTGGAACTAAAATGTTAATTCTGCAATGTTTAAAACAAGTTGTCATACATTAAAAACGCTGAAGCAGAAATTATTACTGTATATAAAAACCAAGCTAGAAATTCAGAGAACAATTAAATCACAGCATAAATACACACATCCCTTCGACAGTCATACTTGTTTTGTCGCTTTGCAAAATAGACATAACTTACGACGTATAAGTCGAGTTTTCAAACCTAAAAAAAGCTTTCCAAAACTAGGGTGTAGATTTATATGGCGGCTATAAAATGCAAACCTTTAGCACCGAGTTGTAAACAAGTGAAACAGCATACTTAAGAATTACTGTGCACCTCTTACCATACTTCCAGCAGGCTACCACAAATATATCTCACTAAAACTTGTGTTTGGTGAACATATTTGTCTTATTAACACAGGAATGAATATAAAATCAAATAATAAAACACCTACCAGACAACTTCAAACGGAGATACTTTCGCGCCATTGTAGAAGTAATGTTAAGATGTGGTGCCATTAATTGGACATTAACTAAAATCTTATAGTCTAGGCTTGATGATATCTAAACTCAGATGCAGAGAATTATAATTAACATCTCTTGGAGATAACATCTAACTAATTAACAGATCCATAAACCAATCCCTGACATTTCTACAATGCACCTTGCAGGAAACTTCTGGTGAGCAACACAAGGATTTGCGAGAGATCTACTGCTCTGGACACCTAGCCATGGAGCAGGACAGTTTAGTAGCCCAGCAACCAACTACACTGGCTGTGTAACCAAGGAAATAGCGATCGATTAGCGAGAGGCTTAGCTGTAAAAGCCTGAACTAGTGGATCTAAAAAAAAAAGTGGGGGGGTCGTTTACCATGGAAATCACGAGAATGGAGCAAAAGGTTTTGCTGTGGGATCGGTGATGAAGAAGCGTTACTGGTTTGGAAGCTTATTTTTGATTTAGTTTCTGCCAATATATTTGTTGTTAATCCAGATTGATTTGCCTTGCACTGTGAGTCGACAATTGGCAACAGCATCGTGGGCTCACATCTTTGCAACGCAAAACACAGACCAATAATCAGTTTCACGAACTAAATGGGCATTCTACAAGAATGATTTATTTGAATGTCCATCTTGTTTCATCGTTTTTATTTATTATTGGCGGTAATAAGAATTTATTGTTCAATTGTTTTTGACTCGTAGAAAATGAATAACTTCCTGTCCTTCCACTATAATGTACAGATCAATTAACGTCTTATCTCTGAAAACTTTTGTGGGGAAGATTCCCAAGTCACACTCTCACTAAAAAATGCGTATCAGTCATTTTATAGAGACAGGACCTGAATATATATATATATATATATATATATATATATATATATATATATATATATATATTTCGATAAACGTGCAATCAATTTACAAATTCATGAATTATTCATACAAAAACAAATGCAAAGGTTAATGATTTAATTGGCGAGAAATCCATCGTTGCAAACAATTCAAATAATATACAAAAACCCCCGAACCTGTTATGAATGAAAAGATCCTTGTTTCTATAAATTTCTGCTGCATTAGTTCTTATTTTTACTACAAGCTTTCGTCTGTTCCTACAGACATCTTCAGGTATGGAATAGATGTTGTTCTTGTTTTTTCTCTCAGTAATAAGAGGACAACGAAAATATATGTATTGTTGTATCCGAAAATGCTATTAGAAATGAGTTATTGTTTTTGGAGCGTGCAGTAGCTATAGAACCCAGTCTGTACTCCTATTTACCCATAGCTGGGAGTCGAAGAAGAGGATTCATACATTACCCAATGGTATTAGCACGTAAGCTAATGTAATGGATTCGACTAGAATTCGAACTCGGATCTCCGATTATATATATATATATATATATTATATATATATATATTATAATGATATTATTATTTTAAATATTTTCATCGCGACGATGTGATATTTTTGGAACATATTCAATTTTCAAACGATATTTAAGTAACTTCAGAGTAAATATTTACTTTTTTGAGGAGGATATTATATTCAAGAGTATAACTAGGAGGAGGTATAAGATTTCAAAATGTTTATGGGTGTTGTCGTATTTGACGAATCAAAAAGCAGATCTAAGCTAAAGTAGAAAAGAGAAAAAATGTAGGTTAGAGGTTAGGTGTGGATATGTAATACATTCTTGTCTAGATGAGCCGCCCTGTATTAGACATGTCACAATTGCTTCCGGTTAAGAATATATTCATAATGAAATAATATATATATATATATATATATATATATATATCCAATAATGGGTTAATTTTAGGATTATATTTTTTAAAATTATTTTTACATACTTAAGTCCTGTCTTAAAGGGGTTTCTAATACGATTAAAACATTTTCATATATTTAATTATTTTGATCTAAAATACAATACTTAACGACTGTCTTAAAGGGACCTCTAGTATGATTTAAAATACCATACTTATTATATTGCGTCGTTCATTAGACATGGCAATGTTAAAATTAAAATTCAAGGAATAAGTAAATATTATAATTACAACTACATGTAATCAAATAATGGATCATTAAAATTTTAATATATATTTTTTATGTAAAATCCTATTAACTATGTTTTAATGTAAACATTTTAAACAATGTCTAAAATAACAGTTCGTTTCGTTGATTTAGTAAATCCTTATTTTTAAGAAACTTTATGATATACAGCTTTTCATGTAGACATAATCGACATAGGTCATTTAATGACCAATAAATTCTCATTTTTTTAAAATAATTTCCATTTTACTGTAGGGGTTTTGCTTGTTTCTTATGAATACCAAAAATATTTAGAGAGGGATGTTCGGTTACGATACCCATTGAAAGATGTTGCTACCATCTTAATGTAACAGGTTCTTTTGTGCTTCCGATATAAAATTTTTTAACACCTGGATTTTCAATAGATGAAATAGTACATTGGTAAACTATAGATTCTGTAAGACATTTATTTTGCAATGGAAAACTTATGGGATATATATATATATATATATATATATATATATATATATATATATATATATATGTGTGTGTCAGAACAAAATGTTCAAGAATAGATATACATCAAAGATAAAATATATAGAACGATATGAGTATATTCCTGAGATGAGGTATTTTCACTATTTACTATAAGTAATTTTTTGTAATTGTTGAATTACTAAAGGGAACTAACTGAAACTGATAATAATGAAGAAAAATGAGATAGCTACATAGATGAGGAACAGTATCAGATAAATGTAAACAATACATAGATAATGAAAAAAGATTAGATAGATAGATAGATAGATAGATAGATAGATAGATCGATAATGAACCGACTAACGTTCAATACGAATTCTTTAATAAACAACTTTTTCATCTTGGCCCAGAACTTGATTAATCAATTTACGAATTGTCACATAAAATATTGAGTTCGTTGTTTGACTGCATTAGCTTTAACTCTTGGCCCCATAGATTGTCACTGACATGCAAAACGATGTCCCTGCTCAT